TCACTTTGACGTGTTTTGAACTTAAATTTGTGATTTGACGTGGAACGGATAAATTCTTTGAACATGTTTCGATAAAGTTTACCGATCTGTACAGGTGTAACGTTTTAATAAATACAATAAATATATTGTAAACAATGATTTGACTAAAGATATACGAATATGAGATAGACGGTGTTATACATATATTTACTACTCGATTGACGCTGTTGCTAAACAATAGTTTTTGGTTCCTAGCTTCGATGTCTACACGTGACAAGTAATTGTATAAAGTTTTGTAATGGATCCGGCTGTTTGTCCTTGTTTACTTTGTGTTCATAAAACTTCTTTATTCCGGATTACCTTGTCCAATAGCAGGGGTAATATTAAAAAAGTATATTTATTCCGGCAACAAAGTCGTGAAATAATACAAATCTTTTCATTAAAAGTGTTCAGTGGTTATTCGCAAGTTTTCACGTCTATTACTTCAAAGGGAAAGCTTTCAAACTCTTTCCACTTCCTGTTGAACGTACTCACTCAATCCCAAACTACGTTTAATATCCCACACAGAAAATGCTTTTAGCGAATTCGAAAAATATCATTTCTTTTCTTTAATCCTCTTAAATTACATGACAAAATTATTGAACACACGAAATTAAATTTCGGGTGGGGAATATTCAGGCACCAATTTTTTTTTATCGAATATGAAGGTATTATAATTTAATCCACAATTAATCCAAATACACAATTACATAACACATTTCTGTTCCTTTGCCATTGACCTCCATAATTTGCTTCGTTAGGTTTTTTGTTTCAATTGTGTAGTGTTTGTACGGCGTGCCGATTTTATCGATGCCAAACTTGTGCAAGGATTAAACGGTGTCCTATGTCTTGTTTGTTGCGAAAAAATCCGCCAAATGACACTTCAGTTTTTACATAATATAACTCATTTACCTAACTGTATTTCTTCCACGCTAATATGCTATTTTGCAGAAAAGATGCTTTATGGTTCCGATATACGATAAATTACGTTAACTCCGTTTTAATAAATCTAGCTCATATATAAACTCACAGTACGTCCCGATCACCATACGTTATGCTTAAGAAATGTATTACTACATACAATATTCACGAGCAAGATCATCAACAATGGCATTAGAAAGTGCGGTACATTCATCCTTCTTCCTGTTGCTGTTATAATGTAGCTATGCACTTTAACTTTCAATTCATTTAAACCTATAAAGATAGTTATTAGCATTGTTACCACGCTATTGTTTTGAGAGCATGAAACAATGATTATTGAAAATCATTATGAAGATGTCAGACAGCGATCAAAGTTTAATATGAAAACGCATGGTCGAACAAGCAAATATAATGGCTGTAATGATATCGAAGACAATGGAGTTCCTGGGTGCAGCCCGAACTGGACGAAAAGACGCTCGCTTTACCACTTGACTGAAGCTTGATCCGCTCTACTGGGCCTTGCCAATGGCATGGCATTTGAACATTAAGTATACCATACCGCCTTTTCCGTAACATGCTTTGTCGTAAAGGTTCATGTGTCAATTGTAAGGTATGATCATGAGCTAAAACCAATAGTAGTGTCACATCTAGAAAATGTTTCCCAGCTTAACTTCAAACATTTTTGACATAACAAATAATTTCTCACATTGGATTACGGAAATATGTCCATCTCATTCAAACCGTTCAGAATTTTGATGTTATTAACCACATGCAAAGGTACATGTTAATTGATGATCAATTATTTCATTGAATAATTGCACAAATACATTAAAGTAAAATTTAACTTGATTCGTATACATTTTTATCACCACACATTGAAATTCACTAAATTATTTTTTGCCTGTGGTTAGATTTTAATTCAGCTGATTCCAATAATTCCAAATAAAAGGTGTAAATATATAACCAATTATTTATTTCCCCGCTACGTCTCAGGAGTCCGGATCCAATAACAATGGATTTGATATCGGAAAACATGGGAGCTTAAACGAACGCGATAAAAAAAGTATTTTTAAAATCGGTTCATAAATAACGGAGTTCTGAGGTAACAAACCTCCAGAGAAGTCGGTTGAAAAATCAGCTAGATGTTTCATAAGACGTTACCGGATTCGGATTTTCGGTGGTATGGGAAGGAGCAGGTTGCCCAGGTAAGGCATGGAGATTTTGAATGGGGGTGTAATCAGCGCCATTGAGCCGAGTCGTCACCTGCGGAACCCGTTGTTATTGTGAGCACACGAGTGAATGACGCCGCGGGGCCGTCCTGCCTACCCATTCACCTTCAGGCAACGAATTCACTCCATAGCAATCGGACGATTTGTTCGATGACCGGTTTCCCTTTGCTGAGCCAATATGTGCGACATTTTTTTAATTAAACCCGGTTTCTATGTGCGCCTCATAGATTTTGGGTGTTAAAATAAATTAATAAGCCCTCACGTCTGTTCAACGTTATAATTCATTGAGATTTAAGTCCCATAGGTCGATAGCCACAGATACGAAACAATGTTTTACGCAAGAAGGAAACCGGAAATTGAATATGAAAAATTAACCCATGATATTAATTAAGTTGAATAAATAACAAAACATAATATGAAAATTAAAAGATATTTTTTAAATGATCTTTACTTGATGGTTCCGTTGACGTACTTCTGTAGCTACGAGTCGTAAGTTTGATTCCCTACCTAGGCAACTATGTCTATGACTTTCGAATAAATGTTATCTAGTTATTTTTTATATTGTGAGGTAATATTTTAAAATGTACATGTATCATAGTAAATTGTGTTTCTGATTATAATGCATATAACGACTTTAATCGAAACCTAGCTTTTGTTTTAACCTGAAACTTTAAATACATTACATATAACCACTGAAGGTTTTACTATATTAAAATTGGTTCAGGTGATGAATATAGCTTATTCTAGAATCAATCAGCCAATTATTCATATAAATTAAATACAAAACATTAAGTCAATTTCAACATTTTATCACCTAATATTGAAATTAATCCCATTTCAAAAGAATAATATAAACGCATGCGGGTCTGGCAAATAGAGTAGTCCAAAAGTAATTCATCCAACTACCAGTTGCATTTAGTTGAGCGCCGGATATAGTGGCATGACCGGAAACACTTGTTTGAACGCTCCACAGGTACATTCTCGGTACCTAGTTGAACGCAAACACATACAAAAGTCTGAGGATCAAAGCGGGACCCTCCGAACACGTGCAAGCCGTGTTGCCCCGAAGTGGTCCCCTCTCCGCGATCTGGATTTTATTGCGTCGTTCGTTACCAACGGAATTGAGAGCGATTTTCATTGTGAAATAACTGAACTAGTTGACCCAAGTCACATTACCTCTATGGTACATCGTTAATAGGATGGTGAGTATATGGTTGTAGGGGAAAGTCTCTGAGTCTTTATTTCTCTCCATACAAATTAAAGTTTCACCTTGAGTGCAGAGACTAGCACTAAAAATAATAAAATTTATCGTAATAAAGTTTCTGTACAATTTCATTTCAATAACGACTAAGTTTATGTTACTATATGCTACTGTTTTGCGCTTTTCATGTATTTACATTTGGCCAAGTTTCTCGTTCGTTTGAACGTAAAAGGACGATGATTTCGCCTGTCTGTACAGTTAATTATAGGAAAACCGTATACCGATTTCAAAATCGATAGTCTGTAGCTCTACATTTGGCTCAGTGCAATTTCTTTACAATAACGAATTTTAATTTAAGTATTATACTATGGTTTTATGTCTATAGTTATTCTATATATCTACGGTTTTTGTCTATTCAAACGTAAAAGGACGATAAATTCCCACTGTATTTACCATAGTAAGACTTTCCAATCTCAATTCGTTCAGATTATGTATTTCTTTGTTCATGTTGCAAATGATTTTCCATAATCACTCACTTATAAGTCAAAGAAGAATAACGGGTTAAATACTATAAGGTAATAATAATGCTACTATTATAACATTTTTATTTAAGTTTACGGTTGCCCGTAAACCTTAGTTATTCGGTTATAAGCCGGGCCCGTTGCGAACCTCGGGGCCACTCCATTGCTCGGGCAGAATCTCTGATAACGAAGGCCAGTCGGTTTTCTTGGGCTGGATGAGCCACTGTTGGTCTTAGGGGCCTTCACAGTTCCAACGGGCTTGAGGTGGCCTGGCGCACGGGGCGCCTAGCCTGAACCTCGGGGCCAGTGGGCAATGACTCTATGTGTGAACAGAGAAAGTCTGTCTATAATTAAGTGTATTATTGGGAAAAAATGTAAGTTAATTACGATAGTAGGTGGACTAGGTAGGACGTAAAAACCTACTTTCTTTCCCCTGGTTATGAGTGCTCTATCATTTCCGTCGGGAATTCAAATCAACATAATAAATAGTTTTATTTAACAAAATTTCAATAATACAAATAAACGAACCCCGAACCATACGTTTCCTACCTTTTTTCCTATATAGGATGTGACAATGTATATAATATAATGACTTCCAGTGCCCACAAGAGTGACAGACTGTCCTGCGACCATGAACTCTGAAAAGTAGTCGAAGCTACTGTGAGCTACTCTGAAAAGTAGTGACTTAGCTTTAGTCAATAAAATTCACATATAGTTTTGTTGTTTATACAAAACAATTTATTCAGAATAGATAAAATTCAAAAAGCCATTTGTCATTCCACAAATTGAATCATTCTATATGCAAAGCAAAATATCTGATACGTAATAATTTTAATGGTAAAATCTCCTACCGAATATGTACGCGGTGTTCCAAATAGTTCACGGCGAGAGGTGTAAAATCTATTAATCAAACAATAGGCACTCTGTGAAACAGTGTGTCGACGAGATGCTAGATAAGGGTCTGGTAGCGACGCGTTACAAACGACTCTCCGAGCGCAGTGACTCACGGGCAACGAGCATTACGTTTATACTTGAATGCTTCTGAATAATTGAAGAAGTTATTTATAAGTTTCCTCTTTAGAAGCGAACTGTGTGCGCGATCGTGGCCGGATGCCGCCACCCTTCGGAGGGCATGCCTTCACAAAGGCATTTAGTCTATTTAAAGACATCCTGCTTAGCGCGGGCCCCAGCCTCCTCGCACGTGCGTCAAGTGTCCTGCGCCCGCCGACCTGTCAATTACTGTCACCCGCACCTATCACAGCACTAGCAACATCGGAACTGATAGCTGAACCCGCCGACGTTTCTCTCGGATGACACTGAAAGTAGCTTCGTATCGACAGAGACTCTGTCACAAATTTATTGCTACCTTATCTACGCGTTTAATGGCAATATTGTAAAATCTAAAAATATCTCCAATACACAGAAACTGTTGCATGAGAACGAGGTGAATTAATGCTTTTCAAAATAATGAATGTTATAAAGGATCGCATTGAGAAATATAATGGAATTGAAAACAATGCCCTTGATTATAAAGAGTAGTGGAGCGAATATTATTGTGCCTGCATATGACAAGAAACGGGTGTGGCCGTCGTCAACCGCGGAAACTAATGTCCCGAACCACTATACCACCACAGTACATGTCCTTCAAATATGTGTCGATCAAAAGTAAATACAAGGGACTAATCTTTGCTTATAAAGTAAAATATCATCATAATGTTAATTAATAAGATACATATCGCACGCTGCGTAGAACAACGTGACATCTGCTAAATTGTAATTGTTCAGGACAGCCGATTCATATTATATTTTTTTTATATTGGTTATAATTTTCTTATACATAGCAGTTGCTATTACAATTTTTGAGGTTTGTAATATGATTAGGTATATTAACAAACAGTGTACTTTTTGAATAAATAATAATATAAATTTAGGAAATAAGAGGTTTCATCATTCATTGCAAAAACTAATGAGTCACAAGATCACGTTTATATAACGTTGTTCAACGGAACATTTCAAAAAATAATAGGTCACACGTTCATTTATAACGTTGTTATACTCAGAAAATATATATGACATAAACGCATGTTTTCAACGCAATATCCATAAAAAAGTGGGTAACTGTGCAATAATTACCAATTGACTCTAATAGAGTATATTACACTCGTCTTTATATTAGTAAGGTGAGTCTAGTCAGTTAAAAAAAAAGTGTCTAAACATACATATGTCCTTTTACTGCGGAGCACAAATCAGATAGAACGTTGTTCTATTCTGAATCTCAATATGTATAAGTCTGACGAAAAAAAATTAATGGCATCTGAAAGCGTAGACAATAGTTAATACTTACTGACGATAAAATCAAATTCGTTCTGTGTGACCACAGAACGTTATTCTACGCACGGTGCGATGTTGTCTTTTTCGATGTAAGATAATTGCAATATTTTGTAGGAAAACGTTTTCCACTTTATTAAGGTAATAACTTACAATAATTCTTCGTTGTTCAATTGTCGACGGACGACTTGCGAACAATTGTGCGGTATCGTTCTGGTGTAACGCGAAGCCCCAATCACGGGGCCGATTTCCGCCTCGACCCCTCACCTGCCCGTCGGTTTCCCAAGGCACACCGCTCACACAATCCTCTTTTACAGCGCCTCTCATGTACGGCGACATTCCACGGGTGACAACCCTCCCATTCGTCAAACGGAGCAATGACCTCAATAAGCACGCTCCCCTCATGAATTTCAAAAATATCGGAACCACATGTTCCTGACCTTCCTTTATATTTTCGAAACGTATCGACAAATGACTCACTCTTCCCATTTGGTTTATTTATGCATTTATTTGTTTAAGAGAACAGAAATATTTTAGACTCTTATAAAGTCTTATTAAATATTGGCATAGTAACCAAAAAATATATTAAATTTATATCGTAATTCGTCACCGTATCCAATATTTGTTCAGACTCTAACATGTAAGCGTATCACCCGATGAACGATAAGAGGAGCTACAAACAACAGAGACTGATCTAATTATTTTAACTGACGAACGACGCAACAATAACTTATTCGATTCTCAGAATTTGCTGACATTGTTTCCGGCACTGATTACGTAAGTAAATCAATCGAGTTCAAATATCGCACAGGCCATCTCATTTTCTAGTCGAGACACTTGCATAATTGAACCGATTTGCACAGAGCGGCCGCATTAGCCATCGAGTTAGGAGAGTAATCCATTGCGCAAGCTAACAATAATCGATGCTTTGCCGATGAAACGGTGAAATCGATGTTCCGACGCTGAGTTACCGCATCACTTGTTCTATATTTAATGGTTAGATTGAACCCTCATAATGAGATCTTCCATTAAGAAGATTTCAACATTAGTTATGCAACGTACACTTTAGAACAAATTTTTAACAAGTGTTCAGCATTACTGATATAAAAATATATTATAGGTCGACGAATAAAGTACTACTACTCATCGCCCATTGATCGAAATTCGACCTTCATTCATTAAAGTTTTGAATAACATATTATTTTTGTAACGTTTATTGAGGCAGTCTGAGATTTTAAAATTCTTTGGTGCCAATCTTGACTGTACAACTGTGTGACAATAGACGTACTCGTATGTGTTTGACATCGACGCTATGAACGTGCACAATTAATGTTTTATTTTATTTGTAAACTCTTGCACTTCTCCATCGACGCCAAATATGAACGTATTCTGCACAATTAATGTTTTATTTTTTATTTAAGACAATAATTAATCTATTAATTATAATTTAATATAATTTATAAATTAATTAATTATAAGAACTCCTTTACAGTTAAGGCCATCTGCTTCTCCATACATACTTTAACTAGCCAAATATCAAAGCGTAAAACAACATTACCGTATTAGTTTTTATGGAAAAAGATTTAAGTATTTATTTATATATATTATACAATATAAGTTTATTATAAATTATTAATTTAATCTATTTTGGTATTTAAGTTTTTGTCACCACCTCACACTATCATGAGTTTATTTTTCCTGTCCACTGGAAGAGATCATTTAAGACCGCCTTATTGTACCTAGCTTTTAAGACTTATTTCATACTAATTGTATCAAATTCTTTGTGGTGTACAATAAAGTATATAATAATAATAATAATAATTAAATAACTGTATTTATAATATAAACCTTCAATATGCATAATTTTATCTGTGGCGCTGTTGCCAAGGTATTGGTTTCGGCGCCGGGATTCGTGGGTTCGACACTCACACGACAACTGTTTATGTGACCACAGACAATTGTTTCGAATAAGTGTTTTTCCTTTGAATTTATGTGTGTAATGGTTAATTTGTAATATTTGTGATTTTTATCTTTATTTTTGTTTTTTAATATGATAAAATGTAATTTTAAATGTGGATGGTGATGAGTCTTAGTAACTTGAAATAAATGATAATAATAATAATAAGTCCTCACAACACAGGATAATGTTATCCTAAATTAAGTTCAATAAAAAAAAATATATTTATATAATTATGATTAATGATAAAAATATCAATATCAGTATGTGCATGAAATATTTGAAACATCATCCGATCACCTATGCGCTTGCATGGCAAGCTTTTAATCCTTACACGCGCTACACGGTCGATGTCGCGTTGATTTAATTAAACCGCACAAGGCGGCTCGGTAACGGGCCCGCACAGACATGCCGCAAAATCATAATTTCTCGCCAGTTGGCGGCTACACGCACATGCAAAGCCCCAGCTATTCGCATGTCACATTCAATCACATCACTACGCCACTGGCCGCTTGTTCCTAATACGCGATTAGGAGTAATTAGATCAATACCCAGACAAGGTAATTAATTTTCTACGCAAACAAGTTCAAAATGAAAGGGTAATTATTTTATAGTTGAACTGCTTAGTTTATATCTTGCCTCATCGCTTCCAATGAATTTTAAGATAATATTGTACCTATATAAATCACTGCTATTGATTTATTTCACACACATTTTATAATATACTATGAACTTTTATCGCATATATTTACAAATATACAAATCTTATGTTTATTGAGATTTCTATGCCTTAACTGTTTTATTAAACTGTATGTGATGAACACTACACAAATTCTTCGCGAAGAACTGTCATTTAAAGAAACGTTAGTGGTTCCTGATCATTGTTACTCTTTGCGGGTTGGAAGAGCAACTGCGAAGTAATTTGCGCGGAATCTATTAAAATGTATGTTTCGGGAATGTGTGGTGCGGTATGAGTTCGGGTACCTGCGGCGTGCAATGTGGAGCATGCGATAGAGCGGCCCACCCAGCGCGGCTTCTCCAACAAAGGCACGGCCGCGAACGCATTCACGCAATCTCCCGGCGAACTCTAATAACTTAACGGCGTACCCTGTGCAGTGCACCAGTGTCCGACGCCGCGCCATTTAATCCTGTTCACATGGACGTCGACCCGCAGATCTTTCTATGGCCATGAACGCCCCAGAGCAATGCAACACTACGCCTTAAAGACGCTGAGACTACAAAATGAAGCTTTTTTAATCGCTACACGCGAGTAAGTGGAACATGAGTGGAACTTATGTAATAACTTTCTGTGGAATGTGAAGTCATATCAAAAAATAAATATTTTGGGTATTTTTTAAATTTGTTTAAATTCTTTCGTTATTTTTTATTTTGTCTAAACTTTTAAAACATAAATAAATGCATTTTTAAAAATTAGGTTTAACCATCTTAAGACCTCTCTTTTGTGCATAAATTAATAAACATAGCGTTCTATAATTTTATATGGTTTCATAAGTTGATATAATCTAAACGAACATGATTATAATTACTGCCACAAACCCAAGAGAATATTACTTCAGCTTCTGATAGCTTATCGATAGTTGGATTATTATGAGAGGTAAATACTAAGGTACAGTTATGAATCAACAATAATACACAACTCAGTTGTAACCTAAACCACTTTGAATTGGTACAACGAAGCAGCATGGCGCTTTGTCTGAGAAATAAACTAGACAAAGATAATTTCTGTTGTCTTTATAGCCAACCGGTATTATGAGTCAAACGTGATTGTTTAATTCAGTCCTACTAAACGTGTCGCGGCGCATGCGCATAGTCACAACAAGTCATTCCGCTCCTTGATTCATCAACTGATGAATGGCCTATACTTATAAAAAATAAAGATATAAATGTATGCATCCTTAGAAAATATTCCTCTATATTTACAATACGTAAAATAAATATATAAGCTAGTTATTTCTTAATATTTACATACATATGATTTTCCAAACAAGTAACAACGAAATTATGCTTTTATAAAAGAGGCTGCATCTTCGGCTTTTAAAATGTTTCTCATTCATTATGTTCCATACCGAACTTAAACCAACCGGCAACATGGTAATTGAAAACGGACGGATTCAAAGAGAGGCGACCACACGTCACCTAAACTAGTAGATAATCGCGGGGCATGTACCTGTTACGTTGCGCGCTCCTTTCATGGAATACTCTTCTTGTTATAGAGAGCACACGACACAATGCGGGTTTATCTGGACGCATTATGAGGAGCATCTCCGCTCCCAGATCGCGCGATAATGCTCGTCGCTGGGGAACAAAAGTTGCGCCGAGGCGCGTCGGGTCGCGAGGCGGTGTGGCTGCCCACGTAAGCTGATCTAGAACCGAGCTGACCTTTGTGCTCCGAAGGCAGCCGCTGTCGATCGTCTTTGTCCCGATACCTGCTTCTCACCGTGCTCTATAGTAGGCACCTTGTTGTCTTTCTCCAAAAGAAAGTGGGCAGAGATATCGACCTGAGCATTGTTCCGCATTCGAGTTAATTCAATATAATGCTGCTTGCTGTCTGTCGGACGCCATTTTTGTTTAGCATTAGAATGGGCCTCATTGTGTTCGGCTCTGAACATCTCACGTCGAGCAGGTGTGTCTTCACTGGTTCGATCTTTTAATCTTCAATGTTTTTTTTGTAAGTAAGCGTAATATGATTATAGAATCTATGATTAGAAAACATTTCATCACTTATATGAATATAACGACTTATAACCACAAACTTGTAACTAAAAAGTAACTATTAACACGGCAATAGCAAAGAAAGCATTTCGTCGGCAGCCATTGTTAAGAAGTTAGTGTGGTACTGTGAATAATAAAACGATAAAATTCCTCAGTAGATTATCATACATTTGGTCACCCGTTTCAAATGAACGATGAAGAGCGGAGATGTGTCATCGAAAATCACTATAGCGAGCGACATGTTTGTCAAATGTAAGACTTTGTGAGGCCGTGAGATCGACGCTGTAATTCGTGGACACGCATCCGAATAAAGGCTTATTAACTTCATTCATATGCTTATGAGCAAAGGCTTTACAATCCACGAACGTATCAAAGCGTTATGTATTTGTGTATACTTTAACTCATGCGTTTGCCTGTATTTATGTGATAACATGGCGGACCAAAAGATGAGGCTATTCGGTGACATAATTTATCAAAAGAATACCTTTTAAACCGACAAGAAAGTCAAAAAGTATAAGAAAACAAAATTCGTGTCAGTAAACACTATATGAAATACATAAATTTAATAAACTAAACCGATCAACGTGGCAACGCTGCATCGGTTAAATTTTAATTATAACAATAAATTATTTAAAGCAGGTAATAATTATCGAACTAGGAGCACAGATGACGCTTTTAGCCATGAGCAAAGCAATTGAGACAGGTCGGGCCAGACAGATGGACCAATTTAGACCGTGTCACCTAGTTCATCCTTCCCGTTAACGATTAATAACGAAACGAGGGAAACGGTCAGCTGGCATACTTTTTGTACTACAACGATCGCTTGTCCGGCAGCTTGAACAGTATTGCTGATAGCCATATGCCCTTTGTCGTTTTTGTATAAAGCCAGAACTGTTTGCAGTTACTATAATATACGGAAACACACGTTTAGTAGCTGTCATAGACGACAATACATGTCATCAAAGAGGTTAATATTATACAACATAAACCTTTTAATAAGCATGTAATAAAGAGTTGTGTTTTGTTGCTTATGGGCAGTGTAAAACTAGATTCGTTGGATACCATTTGGATTGTGATCATTTAACCTATAAAGAACTACCTCCCACTTTAATACGAGTATAATAATACAGGTTTTCAATTTCTTTTTTAAGAAATGAAAGTCTCCTAAACGCTATTTCCATTTTGAGCGTGACATAATGTTCAATTTTCGCGTCTGTGCATATATTTAGTCAAGTTTCGTTATCCAAGCACTTCGATTGCTTGTGTAATATTTGCCCGTTTTATCAGTTTTAAAAAGCTAATAAGCATTTATAAGTATATATGACGTTTTAAAATAACACGTAATCAACAAACGAATTCTTTCAAATTAATTTTTATAATACTGGCGAATTATTTTCATTTTTGTGATGCATATAAACATATTTAGAACAATTGCTTACCTAAATTCAATATCCTATAAGTATTTCAATTTACAAATTTCAGTTCTTTATAGGAATTAAATTTAAATATTATATGTATATCAACCCGCATTTAACTATACTAACTTTTAACACAATTAAACTAACATTTCAAGGAATATATCGTGAAACCGATAAAATAAGGCGAATGATAATAAAATAAAAATAACCACAAGTCGCAGTAAGGAACTCACTCGAAGAGCGCAAAAAAAATCATTAATTTCATTGTAGCGCAAACGCTCTCGGCCATACGTACCTGCGACGCAGGAGTCGTCCGCGTCCGACGCGTAAGGTATTACACGAATGTGTAATCAGAGAGTTTATTGATCGTGCTAAGATTAACACCATCTCGCATTGTCTGCCTTGGCACGTCTTAAATTTTCCCTTTTTGTGTCAATAATTTAAGGAATTCACGAATTAATTTTTTTCTCCGCCTTTATGAATACGGCCGTTTATCACATCAGTAAAAGAATTATTCCTTCTTATACAGCGGTTCCGTAACCCCTCTTCAGTTGTAAATTGTCATGTTTTACGACGACTCTGAAGCGGCATAGCTTATTTTTGTAATGTTCGTCAAAATGATCTAAAACGGTCAACAAAAAAACGCACTATCTTATTTATCGATTATATTTGTATTACCTGGATTTGGATATCGAATTAAAGATTTGGTTGTTAAGAAAAGCATATAAAAAATCAGCTCGCTCTCAAATTCGGTCGACGGGAGCGAAACCGCCTAGTTACAAATAAATACTTGTTTTAACCAGTGCTTGAAAAGCATCGTGTTGAGCCTTATTGGACCGAAAAATCGTCATAGGGAGGATGATTTTTGGAAACATGGTTGGAATCGAGCTGACGGTGAACCAAATATATTTTTGGTCGATATCAACGTGCCATATGGCGAGAATCTCATGAAAGCCGAAATAGATTAAAAGAGCGAAGTGTCTGATCTAGCGAAGGGGGCGAAGTACCAGTCAATGCTTCAGGCTCAAATCCAGAAGGTGATTCATCTGCCCCCAATACTCGGCCTCGGTCACCCCTGCCGTGGACTTTCGTTTGGCTGGACCTGATTTATATACTTTATCATATGTGATTATAATGAAGATTTATATTTTATTACATATCTCAGCTTGTATGTATATCATGTACCTACATGATATACATACAAGCTGAGATATATATCCCCGTCCACCATGATACCTATTATGGTGGACGGGGATAACTTGCTGTAACTAGCTTTGCACCCAAATGAAATTGTCTCTCTATATATGTGAAAGTTCACTTAGCTTATTTTTAGAAGTTTAATCCCTAAGTGCATGAAGTAAAAAGTAGAATTTCATTAATATTTACTCGGCTCAATAGTATCACGAAGCTAACGCTTACAACGATATCTCTAAACTCCATATTATAATAAAACGAAAATATGCTTTTCCTTTTGAAGCATGAACTTGAAAATAAATATATACCTATTAAGATTTACAAACACTTACATTGCATGTTTCAGATTCAATATGTTAACTGTAATACCGACAACGTTTTAGGTTAGTAAACTTTATCATACTATTTTTCTAGAACAATTTGACATCAACAAGCTGCTGTCGTAAATAATGTAATAATAGTAAGCACGTTCGAGATAATCGAGTCGATCACCCACATATTCTCACGCTGCAGCTATGCGTTGCTCCCATGACTTTTTAAACAAATTAATGATATCAGGGGGGTATCGGACATGTGCACCGTCCATGAGCACGTGCCCGCCACGCGGCGGAAGTGCCGCGCCGACCCACTTCTCCTGACCTTCGCGAATTTGTGTACGCATCTCCCGCTCGAAGTGCCTCATAAATAAACTGTTGTCAACGTATCAGTCACATTTCCGGCTACGTCATCACTGCTTACATATCGATCACCTGATGTGCGCCGGGCGAATACGACAGTCAGTACGTTTCCTAATATTTGCTTAAGTGAACTTTAAAATTTTTCGGGAAATTATAATCGACGTACAAATGGTAATCTTGTTATATAAAAATTAATATACATATAGAATTGTTATGGTTTTACACATTTCTTAATACCGCCTGTATTAATAGAGCATTTCAATGTGCTGTAATTGAATTATGACAAAATAAAGAGTTTCATATGATGATTTCTCCGAGCAAAACAGTTCTAAATAAGGTAAATCTCTAACTTAAAATTCACTTCTCAAACTTGACGTCACTTATTTATACAGCTGCTAATAATCTTGTTGGAAAGGATTTTTATTATGGGAATTAAATTATAACTCCTTATATGTCAACCTGTTTTTATTTGTAACTCGACTTCAGTCAACAAATCCACGTTTTGCGGGATGCCTTTTCATCATAATTTTATTATAGTAAAGTCTATAAAGATAGCCTTGCTTGCTCCAGTGATACAAATCGCATCATGATATCGTGCTTTGTCTTTGTTACCAAACTTGTGTATGAATTTGCCTTTAAGATTCCTTTTTAAGATCCTTTTGTCGATTATGTTTTTCATTCTATTTAAAATACGTATCAGTATTTAAAACAAAACTGATTTTGATTTAAATAGTAAATAAACTCGGATAATAATATAGATGTTAAACTTGGAACTGAAATAAAATGAAATTACATATTTAAGTCCTAATGTTATATAACAAAAACTCCGGGTTCTATGACGTAGTGGATAAGCTCCAAGAGCGGCACCTGAGATATACCATCTCCACGTCAGGCCATGTCGCACGCCGGTCGGAAAAATATGTCGGAAGGATATGCCTGTCCTGGGAGCTAGAACTCCTGGCCGCCCAAGGAAGCGATGGCTGGACGTTGTGAAGCAGGATATGAGAGCCAATGGACTGACCCATGAGGATGTCAAAGATCGGGCAAAGTGGAGGAGATTAAGCAGGAAAGCAGACCCTGGCAATTTCTGGGATAAATGCTAGGTAGAAGAAGAAGTTATATAAAAAACCTTTAAAACCTTGACGAATAAAGCAGTTAATGGTAACTTTGCAAAACTTTCCATTTCATTCACATTGCTGTATGTTATGTTGATTTTCGATAAAATTTCATCAACTCTAAACTTTTGAATACGATTGAGCCAGCAATGGTAAATTGAAGAGACGAATGTATGGTGTAGACAAGTTCAAATACTGAGAGATAAACATTGTGATTTTTCTTCCGATGTAGTAGTTAGAGGAAAGTAAAAATTTGCAGAAGACACTACATTCAATGACAATACATTTTGTATTGTCATCGAGCGTGTGGTTTTAATAGGAAGGGAAACATTACATTATAAAGTAACACGCGTTACCTTATTTTAAGCATTAACACCTATCACATATTTGCGTAGGCACTGTTGACAAGGCCAACGCAGCGAGATAGCAGAGGGCAGGTTGGGTCTTATCTCTGCGGGGATGTGCGCGACGCGACGGACGTGCCCTATCTGTCCGCGCTGCCTATCTCATCCCTGATCGTGATCGGTTTGGTATCGGTCACCACGTGACACACTACGCGGATTAAGCGAAATGCAAGCCAGCAACCTCTGCTGATTAAGACTGCTCTACATTATTGACAATATCGCTAATTAACAACTAACGGTCTTAGCGAGATCTTCGTATCTGGGGTATTGAAGAAAATATAGCAACTAAAATGTGCATAAAATTACAGTAGTATTGAAAAACCTGTGATTAACCTTAAATAATAAATAGGAAACGTTTCTGATAAATAGACAATCAAAAGTTTCAAATGTATACTAAAATGTTCTTGGAATATTTTATACATATTATAAAATCTTTCGACCACCTCCCCTCCTCGGGCTAAGTCCATATAAACAATTAATAGACAGAAACTCGGGCAAAAACGCCTGGATTTTTATCATATTGGAGGCTAAGACACGCTTTGGGTCTTGAGCAAACAAATTGGTAGTGGCCACATGTGAGTAAAGAAGTTTTAGTCAATTGTTCAAAAATGTTCAAAATAATCTTAACCAAACATAATATATAACGAGTACAACATTTTCAAGAATACTATTTATTATTATCATGAATGGTTTACGGTGAAACCACGTTTAAAAAAACGTGCAGATTACGTTCGTAGGAGTAAAATAAGCAATTTTAATAAGCAACCTGCAAAGAGCTGCAAATTAGACATATTGCAAAATGCTGCACATTTTTATTGCCCACTGATACGTGACACCTTTGGGTTTATAGTTCTATGACCTTTGAAAACTCATTTTTGTAAGTGTAAACAAAAATAATGAATGAGATCGGTCATTGTCTCATTGTACGTCTTTGTCACTTCTACGTACGTCACTTTTTCGACTGTGGAGTATAAACGTTTAAGAACTAATACTTCTCTGCTATTTATTTTTATTTCGTTTAGGATTTCCAAATATTGATTAAATTATAAAAGTGCACAACCCTATCCTTATCATCATGATAAATAGCCTGCAACGGGCAGGGCCGGAATTACGGGAGGGCAACCGGGGCACCAGCCCCGGGGCCTTCACAAACTAGAGGCCGCTATAATAGAGACTTCGGAAAAAAAAATTCAAATTCAGACTAGTAAACAATAGTAAACAACTTTATCTTTCATATTTTTTTCGCATTTTACTTTTACCTACAGTACTTTGTACAAACATGATTAAATTAAATATAAACAGAAATCAATAGAAAATCATTTGGGGGCAAGGGGCCTCCTGCACTCCTTTGTTGCCCGAGGCTTCCATACCTCTAAATCTGGCCCTGGCAATAGGTCTAATGCCGTTTATAGGTTTCTTTAAAGTTTGCCACATTGCACAGACTTACACTCCCTGCATCCATCGAACTCCCACGGCATTATGTATATCGTCTTCTATCCATCACATGGAGAATTTAGAAATATAATGTAAACAAATTGGTATGTTTTTTTTGTGAAAACTTCTTTAGGCACGTTGGCCTATCTTGGATGGCGAAAAATCCATAGGTTCGCGTCATCGACATGCTAATGTCACGTGACGTTAAAATTTTGATATCCTTTATTTCTTTTGGTTTTCTAATATTTGATATCTGTTAAAAAAAAGTTAGTAAACTTAAAATTATGTAAATTTTATAAAAAATGAATTACTCAAAGTTATCACTTTATTGGTTCGTCAGAAATACAACAGGATCTTTGCAATTCAAGTTAGTGTTTTGTGATTTTAATTATTCATAATATAATTTATTTGAAAATTAAATAAAACACTGTTATTCCTTATTTGTGTTTTTATTTCTGTCGATTGTGTTTCTCTAACTAAAGATTAAGTTAAGACCAATCCGCGACGTTTGAAATCTCTTTATGATAATGGAGAGGGCCAACGAGAAAGCGATTCACCAAGAAATGATTGCTGATAATCCTATGGTATAATAGTATGGAGTAGAATAGAGTTGCAAACCTGTTCCTCACTAGACAACACGCAAAAGAAAATTGTTGTCACAACCAGTCTTCTTAGGGAAGTCCGAACCGTTGTCTCACTTCAAGAGGGTGGGGCATCATTTAGAACTCTCGTTAGAGGAACTGACTATTTAAAAATGCTTCTATCTCTTCTCAGGCGATTGAAAAGCTGCGTTAGTTCTGAAAGTTTTTCGTCTTTACAGAAAAGCAATATTAATAAATTCGATAGTAGGTACATTATGAAATGTTTCTACGGCATAATAAATTATTTATTAAAATCTATTTCATTATGTAAACTCGTTAATTTTGAAACATACGAAAACACATAAACTTTTATAACACGAAACACAATGCAACCGTTCGCCTGTAATTTTTTTTAACAATAACCTGTTCGAGGGCGCCGTGCACATTTTATCCCAAAACGTTCCTCCGTTCGCATTCAAAAAGCCTAATGGAATTTCGCATTACGCAATTCGTGGTATTGTACAACGGTGGAATGTGGATAAAATCAACGACGCACTAAATCACACGAGGCCGACATTGAAAAGGATATAAAGAGAATGTTTACGTTTCGTATTTTCGTTAAGGGACAAAGCGTACCCGTAGAATTTTATTTTCGTAACAAATTAGACGACGTTTGAATCTCCATGGTGCATGTGCTGTGCTCTCACTTTCACTTGGGTACGTGTGCAGGGCGCAGGTAGCGTTGGGATGCGCGTAAATCGACCCCAATGCCGAATGTCAACACCCACAAGCTATCGCGTACCGGCGGCGAGAGCAGTCTTCTGGGCTGCACGCTCTTAGCATATTATCTGAATCTGTCCACACGCGGCGTAGCAGCACCGCTTCCCGATATGGACAAAAATTGAAACACGGAATGTACATATCCGAGTAGGTCCCTGCCTACACATAGCGTTTCGTGCTTTCTTTATGATCCTCCTTTGTATGGGATATAAAATAAGATCTTGATGGTAATTTAAATTCCTTTCGCGTTCGGTCCTCCCAAATGCTCGAATCGGCTGTGATGGTAAAGTATTCATAAACTATACATGAGTTAAAGGTATACTTTTCATTATTGATCATTTAGTTATATAAAAAGAAATGTGAGATTTTCTATATTCTAAAAATAAGCGGTCAGTACAATCGCTACCAAGTTCGTGATAATTGTTATTTCGCCTAGTACAAGGTGGGATTTTTGCACATCTTTACCTGCACACGTAATCCCACGGTCTCGGCGCCTAAACAGGTGTGCACCTGAGAGTAAACGAGTTTTTTCATTAAGCGCTAACATACAATCGAAACAACATGCCCGCTTCTATTGAAAAACGATGCCGTGGATCATTCATCGTTGGACATGGAATGCTTTTATGTTTGTTGATGAAACTCGTCCCACTTTTTTCTTCCCTTTCTCATGTACTGTGCATCGACAAAGTATATCACGCGTACTGGCAAAGCAACTCGTTAGTATTCATTAATACGTCTATACACTTTATATTCGTAGATAGAGCTAATGTTTGCCACAATTAATCTCACTTTCGCTCGATAGAAAACTAATATTAAAGTACCGTTTGACAAAACAATAATACAATTAGTAATGACGAAGTTTGCAATCAATGCACTCCATCCGTTCTTTATAATTGTGATATTAAGAAAAACCATCGACAACAAGAAATTTTGGTGACAAAATTAAAATAAAGCTGTAACAAATTTGGTATTATAATTTATCGATAAAGTTTTACATTTGTATCTTAACATTTCGGAAAACTGTAATAAATTAATTCACCAACAACGTTTTACTAATTTAATGTTTTCAATATGTACATGGATACTTTTTTATATATATAATCGCGTCAAGTACAAATTCGCCGGTACAGATAGAATTAACAAACTCAGCACACGTGAAAGCTAGAGTCACGTGTTTATTGAATAAACAACTTCAGTATTAGTTCTAACTAACAACGTTGTTACATCAAAGGATTCCATTTATATAATTTAATGAGTACAGGTGAAATGACGTATGTTATTAGTGATATATGATAAGGGTTCTACTTTAGTTTTTCTAACTGCAAATTTTTTGCAGTTGATCTAACTGCAAATTGCGATTAAAACTGAAGTAGCATATATAAAGTAAAATTGTCGATTTTAGTTTCACCGCTATCAGTTTTTTGTTTATTGTTATTATGATCTATTTACCTTTATTTATTGTTATTATGATCATATACTTTTTTAAAACGATTTGAATCAAATTGAAATTCAGAGGACGAAGATACCTATAAATAAATGACGTTATTTAATTAGTTAACCTACACAAATATTTTTCGTTTAGGGTATAGGTTAATATTTGTTCGGACCTTAACGAATTATTTGTGTTGTACAAGCATCCATTTAGACCTCAATTTTTAACTAGCGAAATCTCAATAGGTAGCCGCAGAATATCGCATCGAAATTTTTTCGTGTGCAACGTATTATTTTTATAATTTTAAAAATCACATTTATTTAATAATTTGTAATGTGTAACGAATAACCGTAAATTTGTTATGGCGGTGTATATAACGTCATCGCACAACAATTCCTTATCCAATACTTGAACATAAAGTATTAATGTGGGAGAAAATATTTCCCGAGTTATTGATTCACGATAGAGACACTGTTGCGTTAACCTTGAAAGTTTTGGACGAGATATGTGTTGGATATATTTATTCCCGGCTATTTACATTTACACAAGGATCTGGGTTATATCTTAAGCAAACAAACCAACAAGTCGCACTATTAGCTTTATAATATTTTATCGATAAATTTGTTTTTGATTTACACTATCCATGTAGATAACTGCTGTAACCTTGATCTTTAATGTCTAGATATTGGAAATATGGTCGAATAAGGTTACCAAAAACAGGAAAACTGAAACTTTACTCAACTTTCACCTAGAGCATTGCAGAGGCTACCAGGTGATTTAATACTAAGTTATTTCGAAGAAATCTTAACACCTGCACCGCAATTCTACTTCACATTAGTTTCAATAGTGACACGCAATATGTATACATTTTTTTTGATTGAGCAATTTATCTCACCCATTATTAAACCCAACCA